TCAGTTTGACAGGGAGCCAGTGCAGCTGTTGGAGGATGGGGGTGATGTGATGGAAGGAAGGGGTTCCAGTGATGATACGGGCCGAAGAATTCTGGACCAATTGAAGTTTATGGAGGAATTTGTTGTGGACACCAAAGAGAAGTGAGTTGCAATAGTCAATACGGGAGGTGACGAGACTGTGGACAAGGATGGCAGTGGAGTGAGGGGTGAGAGAGGGACGGAGACGGTTGATATTGCGCAGGTGGAAATACGCGGACCAGGTTATGTTATTGATATGAGAGTGGAACGATAGTGAGCTATCGAGGATGACACCCAGGCTCTTGACCTGAAGGGAGGGGGATACAGTGGAGTTATCAATAGTGAGAGAAAAACTGTTGGTTTTAACTTCAACTATTATGCAAACACTCGAAATTTTGAACATTCTCAAAATCTTGTGACAAAAAAAAAAATAATACTGTTTGCAACAAGCAAACCTGTTTGCAAATGTATTTTCAACCTTTTACGAACCCTGACAAAACCCAAAACCGCAAGCATTCACTAGTCACTGAGGTATGAGCATCACCATTGCGAAGATATATAAAATCTAGCCATTTGTATGAGAATGCCAAGCACTGCCTCTTTCACAAAGTCAGTCACAGTTGCACTAGGTGGTACCTTAAAATAAAATCTCTGATTTTCCCACACCCCAAAAACACAATTTCTGATTTTGATAGATTTTTGTCTCTTTCAACACAAACAAAATTCAATTGACAAGGTTAATATTAAAAACTCTGTAAACACAACCATTAATACGTTTTAGTTAAACATTTCAAATCCTCAACAATGCTACATTAAAAGTATTTCCTTTGAGATTAACATGTGTCAACTAAACTATAACTGAAGTTCTGAACAAACCTTATCTTTGTCTTTGAAAATGTCAAAAAAAAGCAAAGAAGGAGTTTTTAACAATCCTGGTACAAAGCAGGTAGGTGTCCTAGGTTGAATTAAAGTCATTGTTTGACAACATGCTCTTCTTCAGGTTTTTAAAAGACGGTCGCCAAGACCTACTGCTTGTGAAATGTTATGGCAGAACCAGACATGCTGCGAATGTGAATGGCGCAGCACAAGCCAGCACAGTTCAGTTAATCCCGCTCCTATCCCGCCCCACACCTGCTGTCATGGAAAAGCAACAGAGGCCGTGCGGGGGCTCAAGCCATGCGTAGGGGTGCGGTGTTTTGCTTTTTAGGGCTAAAGAAAAAGCGGCATAAGATGCTAAGATGAACAGGTTAAGGAAAGAAAAAACAAAGTTGAACAAAACCTTGCATTTTACATTTTCATATTTTTTTTTTTTTTTTTTGTGACACTTGTTTCACAAGACAGCATCAGACAATGGGTGGTGTGTGAAGAGGAATGTGAGAAAAGTGGAGGAATGTACACCAGAAGTTAGGTCATGTTAAGACTGCATTCTTATTGTCTTCACAGGATAAGCAGCAGAATATACAGTAGATGGACAGATATTAACAGGGGACAACTTATATTTGTACAAGTGTATATTTTGACCTCATATGTTCTGCTGTACCGTGAACTTTAAACAGCAATAAAAGTTTTTTAACCAGTGTTATTTACAGACTTAAAGTGAAGAGCATTAAGCCATTTAAAACATGCCACACTCAATTTAGTGAAAGAAAAACAGCAAAGAGCTCTATCACAGTGAAACCAATAACTGAAATCAGTTCACCCTAATGAAATTCTGGTCATTGTGTGCAGTCAGCCAAATACATTCTTCCCACGAAATGACGAATTTAACAACGGATCAACGTAAATAGGGTCTTAAACTAAAGTGACAAAGTGCCTCTTACTCAGCAAAGTTGGACTCAACTATTAATTAGTTTCATCACCCTTCACTCTCCTCTCACTCAGACCTGTTAGTACAATTTACTGCTAATGTTTAAAAGCTTTAATTATGAGTAATGACTTGAAGTATTAAAAGAAAAAACAATTTAAAATCGTTCTGATCCCAGTCGGCACCACTACCTCATACTGAATGCCATTTTTTAATATAAAAAATGCTAAAGAAAAGCTTGTATGCTTATCCATTTGGAGCATCTAACCTTAATAAAATCATGTGTTTCAAATTGAAACCTTGTATTAATTGTGTTTGGTCACCCTGATTGTGTCATTTATTGCATCATTTGATTGGATGTCTCACCTTCTCTCCTATTGACCTTCGCATAGACCGGCCCATGGCTACCAGACAGCAGTGAGGAGCTACGGAATGATGAGTGGGGCAGATTCGACACTAGCGGGCTGTCACAAACATCTGTTGACAAAGCAAAAAGGGAGCGATGTGGGTTTGATGGCAATGCACAAGCATTAAAAAGTTGGCACACATTGTCACAAAACCAAGACTGAAAGAAGTATTGATATTTGTGTCACAGATCAAGGTTTTTTTGTCGTGGAGATGGGGATGAAAATGTGGACTCAAATGCAGGGAAGCAAAGGAGGTATTGGAGCTAAGTAATCTAAAAAAAAAGGTACATACTCAGAAACCTAAATGAAGTATGTGGTAGGATAAATTGATTGATTTTTTTTGATTGAAATCTTTTCTTCAAACATGACAAAACAGTAAAATCAACAAAAACAAACATCCAACCATTTTCCGATCCGCTTTATCTTCACAAGGGTCGCAGGGGTGCTGGAGCCTATCCCAGCTGTCTTCGGACAGTAGGCAGGGGACACCCTGAACTGGTTGCCAGCCAATCGCAGGGCTCACATAGACACTCAACCATCCATGCTCACACTCGCACCTGGGGACAATTTTGAGAGTTCCATTAACCTGCCACACATATTTTTGGAATGTGGGAGGAAACTGGAGTACCCGGAGAAAGCCCACACAGGCACGGGGAGAACATGCAAACTCCACACAGGAAAGCCACAGCCGGAATCGAACCAAAAATAATAGTTAATAATAAATTAAAATAAAGAAGAAATCAAAACAAATTATGAAATTAACAAAATCCAAAAAACCAAGACTGAAGATAGCAAAGACACACAAAGAAAACACCATCACAAGCTACGGACACATCATGAATCATTTGACACAAACTAAGAAAAACCCGGGACCTAAATACAATTATATTATAATAGCAAATGGTATCCATTATTTTGCCATAATGACCATCAAATCCAGTTTGCTATTGGTTGTTTGCAGGCTTGCATACATTTTTCACATTGCGCTCTCACTGGAGCATGACACAGAGGAAGCAGCCTGTAACTTTATGGCAGGCTGAGTCAGCATTGAAGTATTTCTTTCATAAATCACAATGGTCTTTTAATGAAACGAAGCCCATTTCAATACAAAACCAAATAAGTGCAATCACAATGGAATCAAAGTTTAGTACAACTTGCAACTGTGTGAGAAATAACAAACCCAAGTCACTTTGCTAAGCCAGCTGCTAAACTTTAATTGGAATACCTCATATACTTGTTCACTCTTTATTCAGTTTTACTGGGAAATGAAATGGTAAAAAGACATAAGTACTGGCTCGATAAAGAAAGCTGACCTGACTTTTTTTAATCCATGCTTCTTCTTGCTTTATTCAATTTTAAAGTGGAAAGCCCTATAAATGGCCCTAAATGACTATTGCATGAACAGATTGAAGTTGGTATACTGAGCGGAAAAAAAAAACAGAAACCCCACCATTCTCTCAATATACATTTTATTTATTTTTTTCGACTCTGATGAAATTTTATCCCAAAAGAAATGTATGAAACTCACTGAATGAGACTGTGCCCATTATTTTAATGGACTACAAAAAAGTTAACACAATTTCTCAACGAAAGAAACCACTCTGAATATGGTAATGGCCCTTGTGCATGGCAATGCACGAAACATGGAAAGGTCAAATCGCATAACTGTTCCCACTGTCAATAAATTATAAACTGCTGGGACTCCATCTGATTTAAAATAACGTTTGCCGTTATGTGTGATAACCTGAGGTTGTACAGTAGGTATTCTATAGCAGGGGTGTCAAAGTCAAATGGACGGAGGGCCAGATAAAAAATGTTGCTGCAAGCCGAGGGCCGGACTGATCGAATGTTCGTTCATTGAAAATTTTAAAAATGACCACATATTGTTTATTGAACCAAATTTAATTGACTGAAAACCTAACAAATACATTCCAATATGGTCAGATAAATAAAGCAACATTTTTTATGGTTATGTCAGTAAACTTTAATTTTCAACAGGCACAAAAAAATTTTCCTTTGTATAAAAATACCCATCACATGAATGAAATTAGCCGATATTATTCAAGGCACTATCAATAGTCCATATTTTCTTTTTTAGCAAAAGTAGGCTAAATTTACTTAAAAGAAAAACAAATAATAGTGCAGTAATTTTCGATCATTTACTCGAATAAAATATTTTTAAAACATAATTGGATTGAAATACAACAAAATAAAGTGCAAAAATGTATAAACCAAAAACAACACTTTCTTCAAGAAGTAACAAGCAGCGAAAGCAAATATTACACTTTAATTTTTAAACTTGAACTGAGTAAAAACTCTTAATATGTGATTTCACAGTATATTATAAGTAATGTTCACTTCTTTGAGGCTGAGGCTGATACTCGGTGGTGTCTTAACTTTTCTACAAGTTCATCAATATTTGGGGTCAGCTCTGAGCTGAGCAAATCCTCAAAATTGAGTGAGGGTGTTCAGCAGTAAATCGACTTCTGTGTGATGTTTTGTTCAGCTTCATCAAAGAAAATAGTTGTTCACACACGTATGTGCTGCCAAACTTTCGACAACGTTTGAGCAGCCTGGATGCGCAGCGGG